GCAGGAGCAGGATGTCAAGGGTGTAATCTTACAACTTTATTGTGCTCGGTGATCTTTTGTCCTTTCGTTGTTTTGGGTCTTTTGTGTCGTGGTTGCTGTGCTAAAAGTTCTGCTGTACCAATCACTCTTCGTGGCGCATTTGGTACAGAAGTATTTACATTGCCTGGTAATGAAGTACGCAATGCATTGGCAGCTATCCCTGCAGCAGCTATACCTCATAAAACATCAAGACATTCCAACAATCCTGTTCCTATTGGTCCCCCATCTAGTGTTTACCCACCTAATAGTTACCAACCTAGTGGTTATCAACCTAGTAGTCACCAACCTAGTGGTTATCAACCTAGTAGTCCCCCACCCAATTATCACAAAACTCCTAAATCGGGCGACAATCGTCACAAACACAAAAACCACACTTCTACTAATGATGAATATTGATTATTTTTTTATATTTTAATAATTGTCTTATTTTTTTTGGTTCTTTTCAATAATTTTATATTTTGTGATAGTTTTGCTATTTTCTTTTATAAAAAAAGAATAATTCATCACTGTCTTGTATTCTATTTACTGGATATTTCTTTTATCTCAGACTATCACAAGTCAATGAAAGATGACAAAGCATAAAAATCAGAAAAGAAAGAAAAGATAAGCAACATATCTATACACATATTTTCTCTTAGATTTACATTTACAATCTCAATATTTTTAGAAATAGTTGTGCACGACGAAGACGAACAGGAACTGTTTGAGTATGTCGACGACCTTCAATTGATGTTGTACGATGAAGTAAAAGACTAAAAAACAAAAAAGCTTTTAATTTTTTGAACTAAATATGATTTACTGATCATTTACCGATAATAAAGTGTTGTTCGTTTAATATCAAAACCACGTTGTTTGATTTTTTCACGTCAATCATCTAATGTTAAACAAGGACGAACTGTTTCTGATCGTCGTCGGTCATCACTAGCATCACCAACTTTAGCTATTTCTTCAATTACAGTAAAACCTCTCTAATCTGAACACCGTCAATCGCCGCCAAAAGTGTCCAGTATAACGGGGTGTTCATAAAGGAGGAGTGTAAGCAATATTAGATCAAAATTTTATTTTGATGATTTATCCACAACTGTAAAGTGAATTAACTTATTTTATTCGATCATATAATATTCACATAGTAGATTTGTAAAAGAAAACCTTAGGCACCAGATTTACGATCCATTCGGTTGAAAAAATCCAGAATAGATTTCTGTTTAGAATTATTCGAATCCAAATAAATATCAATGAGCTTTGACTGAAACTCTGTCAGCAATGGGTGAAGTCCTGAATAATAACTAGTTTTACGTTTGACATTTTTATTTCGATTATTTTCGTAATCACTCAAATATTCTGCTTTTCTTTTGATTACATTTGAAATAGCACCAATGGATACATGAAATTTTTCTCGTAATCCACGATAAGTTAAACTAGCTTCATTTAATTTAATAACATTAATTTTCTCTTCTAATGTAAGATCATTACGAGCAGTCATAATTGAAAAAAAATTCAATTACACTTTATTTATTACAAATGTGATTGTTTTTTATTGTTTTCTCTTCTTTCTCTCTTTATGTATAATGATTAAGCCGAACTATACAGCCAATTAGCTTATCGATGCATATCTCTTTCAGTCCAATTACTCAATTTTGTATGGCGGCGCTCTCTATAGATGTTCATATTAGACAGGTTAACGTACACAAATATGACTAAAAAAAGCGTTCACATTCAGAATCGCGGGGGGTTCATAAAGGAGAGGTGTACAGAAAGAGAGTTTTTACTGTATTATCTTTGTTATTATTATTTTTTATTGTTTAATTCTTCTTAGTGAAATATCACTTAATTTTTGTTATTATTATTTTTTCATTCTTTGATTATTCTTGACAAGATGTTCCAACTATAATAATACATTCAATACTTGAAAACGATGAAAAGTCCTATAAGCTAAGGAGCTTGTTTTCCGATTAAATAAATGCGAAAAGCTCGGATTTGAATTCGAGTGTTATGTGTACTCAAAAAGGGACAAAAGATATTCACTTTATTTTTCATTATTATTTAACTTAGGTACGAATAACATTTGTTTTAAATCTAAAAGATTCGTTTTATTAAATTCAAATTTCATTTTTACTGAAAGATATTTGATTATTATTATGACAAATTTCAGAACAATTTTGATATTTAATATATCTTTTATGAACATAATTAATAAATTGAGATCATCCTGAAATTGGTTTAGGTGTCAAATTAATTAATATTGTAATAAATGTTTTATTTGAATATAATAATGAAAATTGAACTCCTATAATGATAATAGACTGTAATATATTTTAATCATTTCAATGCAAAATTTAAAACTCAACGTTCGACAGATTATAAATCTTAATGCAAAGAAAATGTTTTGACAGCATATTTCTGCTTTTGTCATTCTTCGTTTTTCTCTGACATTGATATACAATAAACATATTTCGTAATGTATACTTAATCTAGATAAATGAAGCAATAAGAATGCAGTCTATTGCTGGTAAAAACACCATGTCAAGGAATAGTTTTATTAGAGACAAACTACTCGTTTCATATTTTTCTCGTTCTTCTTTATCCATCACTTGTTTCTTTTCTTTCAGAAGATTGATAGCTATGTAATTATACTTTCGTATACATACGACTTTCATATACACGAGAGGAGAACAGAAAAAGTTACTTGTTTACAAAGACTCCTCTTGTTAATATATTTTCGCCGCCACAGTTGATTGTGCACATTTGTTAGATATAAATACATATACTATTAATCATTCTAACCCAATCATCCCTCATACGCATCTATTTTTTTTCTTCATATTTATTAGTTTTACGTGTACCATATAAAAAAAACAAGTAACGTTCGCCGTCTCGACTCACTTCACCCTCGACTGTAAGAGTATAGGACTGGTTGTAACTGAGAATTTCGATGTAACTATAGATATCGCTAATAAATCAGAACAAAACACACGCTGACACCCAGCCACTCACAGCCGCACTCATTCAACAATCTCACTCGCTGCTGCACTTACATGAACTCACCCACAGACACCAACATTCTTCACCATCTACACCCGCTACGACTCCAATATCCACTCACCAACACCCACATTCATTCTGCATGTACAACCGCTGCGACTGCTAGAGTCTCCAACTCACATCCACACACCTTCGAGCCGCAACTGATAAACTGTATACATCTTAATTTCCGAACCATCAACCTGACAACTATCGACTCCAGCTCGGTCAGACCTATGACTCTCGATATTTGATCGGGTGTGGGTAGCTTTGGGTCTGATTATAGATATGAGTAATGAATAAAAACAACAAGCAAATCGACACCTACCCACTTACACATCCAGGCTCACCTACCAAAAAATACACCGTTCCACCGTATTCCACCCGAACTCTCCCATTCCTACCCAGCTCGCCCACTTCTAACCTATTTCACCCACTTATGTCCCATATCACCAACTTCTGACCTATTTCACCCATTCCACCCACCTCTGGCCTATTTCAACCATTCCACCCACTTCTGCCCTACTTCACCCATCCCACCCACTTATGACCCATTTGACCCACTTTTGGCCTATTTCATCCACTTCCGCCCACTTCTGACCTATTTCACTAATTCCACCAACTTTTTCCCCACTTCCACCCAAAATACCCACTTTCTACCCATTTCACCCAAAAT